TTGCAGATGTGAGGGGGGAGGGGAATTGGGGTTGGGGGTCTGGGGGATGCAGAGTCTCTGGTTGGGGGGGGGGTCGGACTCACAACCCCCAGTCCCTCGCAGGCAGACAGCGTGCAGGAGCAGGAGATGTGGCGCGGCTTCATCCTCACCATGGCCAAGGTTGGTGGGTGCCAGTGACCCCTGCCAACCCCCCCCTCCCCCCCTGTGTCTCAGTGTCCCCACACCGTGTCTCCCCCCCCTCCATGCAGATGGAGGTGCCCACAGACCTGGAGCTGCTGCCTGGGCACCTCTTCCAGCTGTCGGAGGCGCTGCGCCAGGAGAGGGAGAACTGCCGGAGGGAACGGAGTGTGGGGACAACTGCAGTGCCCCCGTGAGTGGGGGTCAGGAAGGGGACGTGAGGTTGAGATGGCATGGAGTGGGGTGACATGGAGTGGGGTGACATGGCATGGCTTGGGATGGCTTGGCTTGGATGACATGACATGGCTTGGGGTGACACAGCCCGGCCCAGGTTGACGTGGCACAGCTTGGGGGGACGTGACAAGGGTCGGAGTGGCACAGCATGGCTTGAGGTGACATTACATGGCTTGGAGGGACATGACATGGCTTGGGGTGGCATGACTTGGGGTGAAACTGGCTCAGATGGACATGGCATGGCTTGGGAGGACATGGCTTGGGGGGACATGACATGAGGTGACGTGTTGTGACTTGAGGTGACATGGTATGGCAAGAGGGTGACGTGAGATGGCTTGGGGTGACATGCCATAGCTTGGGTGACATGGCTTGGGGTGACAATGTGGCTCAGGTTGACGTGGCATGGGTTGGGGTGACACTGCATGACTTGGAGTGACATGACGTGGCTTGGGGTGGCATTATGGCCCAGATTGACATGGCATGGCTTGGGTGGCATAGCATGGGGTGACATGGCATGGCTTGGGGTGACATGAATTGGGGTAACATGGCATGGCATGGGGTGACACTATGGCTCAGACTGACATGGCATGGCTTAGGTTGACATGGCATGGGGTGACAATGTGACTCAGGATGACATGGCATAGCATGGGGTGACATGGCATGGCTTGGGGTGACATGGATTGGGATGACATGGCATGGAGTGGCATGGCTTGGGGTGACATGGCATGGGGTGACACTATGGCTCAGACTGACATGGCATGGCTTGGGTGGCATGATGTGACTCAGGATGACATGGCATAGCATGGGGTGACATGGCATGGCTTGGGGTGACATGGATTGGGATGACATGGCATGGAGTGGCATAGCTTGGGGTGACACGGCTTGGGGTGACACTATGGCTCAGGTTGCCACAGCCTGGGGCGGCGTGTTGTGCCTCGAGGCGGCACAGCGTGGGGTGACGCAGCGCGGCTCAGGTTGGCTGGGGGTGCTGGCAGTGACAGACTGCACCCCGGGGTGACCCCGGCCCACCCCCAGCCTGCCCAGCTGCTTCTTCGACGTGTCGCGTGCTGAGGCCGAGCGGCTGCTGGAGCGCAACGCGGGCAGTGGGAGCGTGGTGCTGCGGCCCGGCGGGCACGGCCAAGGCTTCTCCATCAGCACACGGCAGGTGCTGAGCGGGTGAGCGGGCTGCGACCCCCCTCCTGTGCCCGGGGTCGGTCCCCGGGGTCAGGGTCTCCTTGGCTGGGGGTCGGTGACGCCCGCTGAGGTCGCCTCCCCGGGCAGCGCTGCTCTGCTGAAGCACTACAGGGTGGTCAGCGTGGGAGATGGGTTCCTTGTTGACATCGACACGCCGGTGAGCGCCGTGGGTCTGAGCCGTAGACACCCACTGTGCCCCCATGGGATGGGACCCCCAGCTCTGGGCTGAGGATCAGGGATTGGGACCCCTCCCTTCCCACAGAGGTTGGGCTGGGATCCCCCCAAAGGGATTGGGGCAGGACAGCCCCATAGCTGGGACCGAAGCAGGGGATCGGGACCCCTGGGGGGCTGGGACCCCGAGGATGGGGATTTATGGGATTGGGACCCCTGGGGGCTGGAACACGAGGGATGAGGAGCCCCAAGAGACCGGGAGCCCAGGGATTGGGGACTGAATGGCAAAGATTTACGGGATTGGGACCCCCAGGGGGCTGGGAGCCAAGCGACTGGGATCCC